GTCCTTGTCGCTCCGCATTGGCAATCGCGCTGGAAATGATACCAGCATTATTGGTATGTTCTGGGCCTCGCAGTAAATGTTAGCAGCAATACACAAAGCAGGCGCCCGCCCTCAAAACCAATCAAGAGTACCGGGTTGCCCTGGTCTTCTTGGATTGTACAGCTTCCCGTGTCTCCCAGAATGCTCCTACCCGCTGCTATAATAGGATGCCGTTGCGAGCGGCCGTAGCGGCCCCTCCCGGGTCCTGAAATGCCCACTGACGCCGCAACAAAACCGGTCGGTTTGACGTTGGCTAGTAATGGTGGACTCCCAGCTAGGCTGTCGTAGCTGGAGGTTGTCGTCGAGGATTCGGACGCGGTGGATCGAAGGCTCGTGGAGGTATAGCTTCCGGTATGCGATGTGTCACCGGCGGACGGTATCTTTCTCTTTTTGGTATTGCTCGTGTATTCAAAGGAGTCGAATCCGTCGGCAGTTAGTGTTGATGACGGCAAGGTCCAATAGCCCTGTGCGGGTGACATGTGGAGTGCCTGTGAAGACCGCCCGGATCGGTTTCCAGCACGGGATGTGCGCGAAGAGGACGCTGCTTCGTTTTCGCCGCTGCTCCGTCGTGGTCGGGAAGGAAGATCGGCGGCTCGGCCGGGGGCCGACCCTGGTTTTGCATTTGGGCCTGTGGCTGCCGGAACAGCTGTCGCAGCCGTGGTTGTGGGCGTGGATGCAGACGGAGCTGTGATTGTCGGTTTGGCCGTCAGGGTTGCAGCTTTCGCCTGGCCAACAAATATCGGCCTTTCGACAGATGCTGCATCCTGTTTCAAGCTGTACGGATAGTAGAACAGAGGTGCTCCTGGCGTCTGATCCGGAGGATACTTGATTGAGTCGGCGGCATCGGACGACAGGCGCTCACGAAGGCGTCGTTTTGGCAAAGGATGAATCAGTCGGTCTGGGTAGACCGGCGAGGCGGTTTCAGGAGACATTTTGCGGGCTGGTTCTACATTGCGGAACGGTTGAACAACTCTGGTTAGCCAAAGAAGAACAGGAGATGTGCCAGGCAGAGAGATGGAGAAGTGGCCAACGCCAAACAGCCATGCAAAGATCTTCTCGAAGCAAGAAGTCATGCGTCGCCGACAAGGACCGCCAAAACACCGGCGGAACAAAAAGACTGCCAGCAGCCTCGTGCAGGTGCGTAGAAGTGTAATAGTGAACAAATATGGACAAGCAATATCGGTGGGGTGACATATGTACGTAGAGTAAAAAGGTGAAAAAGAGGACGGCCGAAGTCAAAATAGAAAAGTCGGTGGGAGGGGGTAACACATACCCATCACATCGCCTCATGCTCTCTCTCTCTCTCCACAGCTACCACATGTACGTTCCATGCACCCAGCACGTTGAAGTGCGACCGTATCGAATCGAATTTCCAAAAGATGTTGGCAAGTCGAGTCGACGGGGGCGGTCACTTCGTGGTTGTTCTCGATCGTCGTATGTAGGACGTGTCGTTCGGAGCGGTATGGAGCGGCAAAATGGTACGTCAAAGGACCCTAGATTTCTACCCAACGAGATAGTGCGTTAGACTCGGACAACAAACACAAATGGATACAAAGTGTCAAGCCAAAAGTAGCAGCGAGAACCCGAGACTCCCATGCACTCATAGGAGTCGAGGAGCCGTCACTGGAGAGCTCTCACGAAGCCTTTGGCATCACCATTCGAGTCCGTCGGCCAAAATAAAGGGGTGCAGCCCGGATGCCGAAGATACTTGAAAGAACGACAAGGAGAGGATGTGTGGTATGGTAAAGGGACGAGGAGATCCGGGAGGACACAATGGGACGGTGCTAAGGGAGAGAAGCTGATGCAGAGGGCGGAAAAGCGGTCGGTTGGTTGTTCTCGTCACCTACCTCGTCTCGAGATTTTGCTGAAACAGCCCGGTGACAGCGAAATTAGCGGTTGGCACGGCCTCTACGTCGAGGGACGTTGGGACCAAGAAAGAATGAGTGGAGGCCAAATGATATGCAAATTCTGGAGCGACCGGGATTTAGGGAGAAGGCAAACAGAAAACAAACAAGACGTTCTGGTTCCTGAGGTCGAAAATGTTGTAAAACGGCGAGAACTAGAAGGAGCAAAAAGCCGCTGATGTGGCCAGGACTTCAGTCTGATTGCTAATTGCCTGCCACGGACTTTGATAGACGGCCTGGTATCGATCTTCGATTAGTGGTCCGGGCTCCAATTTAGGGGCAAAAAATTACCTAAGCGGGCCCAGGGCACGCTGAACAAGAGCACTACAGAATACAAAATGCACACAAACGTAAAACAATGGGCCGGCAGAGTGGCCTTGTGGCCTTGTGGTTTGCCAATAGAGCAAGCACTGATTGGCCCGGCACAGTGGGGTCCGAATTTGGAAGAGACACAGAAACTGTTTGACTTTGAAATACAGGCCGGCTGGTGCGCTCCTTCTTTAATGAGGCAACGAAGACACGGCCACGATGGCATGACAATTGTCCCGGCCAGGCAAGAACGACCAAGATTCAATAAGAAAAAGGAAAGCGCAAATGGCACTGGACTTCACCACGCGATAGGCCTCGTTTGCCAGTAGACGGCGTCGCAATTCCAGTCGGGAAGGCGCGGTAAGCCTCGGCGAAACTGGATGCTCCTGCCACGGAAGGAACAACAATGCCGGACCGACTTGCAAGTAGACAAAACCAGGCCGAAAGCCAAAGGAACAACGGCAGCAGACATGGTGTCTCCGCGTTCGATTGGGGAAACCGGGCCACGGCTCAATGCAATGCAACAAAGCAAAGCGTCAACACTGCGATCAAGAACACGACGGATTACCTCTCCGAGTCTGGTGCGGGGGTTGACCAAAAGAGCGTGTTGGCGAGTGTCGGCAGCGGAAGCGGCATTACATAAGTATATTTTGGCTTACGTCCGCGCGAAAAGGTACAAAGATACTTTCGGCAGGTATCATCACAAGCACTGGACGGCACTGGTCCCCTCAATGGCTTTTTCTTCTTGCGCGACGCACCTGCGAGTCCCACTTTTCCATCGCTCGCCCCTGCCCCGAAGCGCCGCCAGCTGGGGTTGCTCCTTCTGAGCCTGCCGACGCTACTTCACAATGCTAGGCGTTGCCGCGTGTTTCGTGGTACCAGCGCTCAAAGAAAATTAGTAGCCTTTTTTTTCCACCCACTCGCTGGTGTGCTCTCGGCCGTCCCCTGCCTCTGCGTCGCTCGTCCTTCTCGCTCGCTCTTTCTTTTCTCTCCTCCTCGTTCCTGCCCTTCCCCGTCAGTCACCTGTCCTACTTCTCCCCGCTCGTTTTCTCCTTCGTCCTCGACCTCTCTCGTTACTTCTTCACCAGCTTCACCTCTCAATTCGACGTTGCCTTCGACCTGCAGTCGCTTCAGCCTCCCCGTGCAGCTAGCCTCCCGAGCCATGTTTCGCAGTCGCTCCGTGTCTCTCGCCTCGTCTCTTGCCTCGCGACTGTGATCCAGGCACCCCCTCTCCAGCGCCGACCTCCCTGAAGTAGCCTCTTGTCTTTGCCTCGCAGCTCGAAACACCTTTGGCTGTCTCCTATCTCGACTCTCTCCTTCTTCCTTCTTCCTTATTCGTAGCACAAAGTCAGTTGCTGTTGCGGCGCAGAATCGAATCAATCGCGCTCCGGGCGCCACTAGAAACAACCAACTCGTTCCTCGATTGCCTTACTCCTTCCACGACAGCTCCGGCCCTGCTTCCCTCCATCCGACAACAGAGATACGCATTGGTTTCTTCTTAGCCTCCCATACGCGACTGTGCCATTCATTCCGTTCGCGTTCCCTATTTATCCCCGTCCTTCACCCTTCCCCCTCCTCCTCTTCTCACACTCTCCCTCCACTCTCTTTTCGCTTGTTGGCCGCGGTTGCGAGTAATGGCTGGAACTGATCCCCGTCGCTCTTCTCGCGCTCGCACAAACCAACCCGTATCTCGACCATCCTCTACCACATCCAGCGTTTCTGGCCGCATTGAACGCCACCCCAAGCATTTCGTCAAAACCGGCTCGCCGCAGAAATCCGCGTCGTCTGCATCGCTCGCGTCCGAGCCGCCCGACGACACCGCAGGCACTGACGACAATACTCCGCCGCCACCTACACGCAGCCGACGCGCCGCGCACTCCAACGTCATCAAGGACGACGACCAGGACCAGTCGTCTGTGGTTGTCAGCGAGATTGAAATGACCAACGACGGGGACGACTTCCAGGAGGACGACGAGGCGGTCCGCTGTATATGCGGCTCCGAGGACTACCCGGGTCCGCCGGCCGCCGAGGACGTTGAGCAGGCGGCCAAGGATGGCTACGACATCGAGGCTATCTTCCCGGCCGTCGTGACCGACGACCTAGCCGGTTTCTTTGTCCAATGCGACATTTGCAAGGTCTGGCAGCACGGCGCCTGCGTCGGTCTCGTTAACGACGCGAGCCTACCCGAAGAGTACTATTGCGAGGAGTGCAGAAAAGACCTGCACAAGATCTTTCCTGGCCCCAACAGGTGTGTTTTTCTTTGTTGTGCCGCCCTTCTCGTGCTTCCTTCCTTGTACGCGTTCTCCTGCTAATGATTTCTTCTTCCGTTAAGCCACCGCTGTTCAATCTACCTCGCCCTCAATCGCCGACGCTCGCGTACGGGCTCATTCAACAAAAACCGCGATCGCTCGCCGCAACACCGCGACAGGAGCAAAGACAGCAAAGATGGAGACAGAGAAACTGGGCCTGATGGGGTGCGGGAGTCCAAGAGTGCGCGGGCGTCGGCTGCGGCGGCCAAGCGTCGCTCGACGATGAACAGCAGGGACGCGGCGTACGACGAGGAACAATTGCTCATTGCCCTTGCTGCCAGCAGAGAAGATGCGAGCGATCCTGCAGACCCCACTCCCAGACGGCCAAAGCGCAGTCGAAGCGACAGCGAAGAGTAAGCAGATCGTCACCTTGAAACAATGCATCGACAGCCACGAAGAAAACATATGCTGACGCCATTTCGTAAATAGGAAAGCGGACATGACGAAGCGACAACGCACAAGCTCCCGGTCCGTATCCCCCGCAGGCGACAAGCTAGCAATGGACGACGATTCGGACGACGCCATGGCCACACGCAACGGGTCGTCCAAAAAGGCATCTCGCAGTGCAGCGCTCGCACGGTCACAGGCACAGCGCGAGCGGGCCGAGAAGGAAGAAAAGGAACGGCAGCGCGCCGAGGCCGCTAGCAAACGCAACGGACGCGCAGAGCGTCGCAGGGTCGACGGTAAGGACACGACAAAGGGTAGATAGCCTTGTGCAAGTAGTGAAGGGCACGCCGCTAACTCGGAAACAGATTCCGATCCGTCAGATGAAGCGCCATTAGCAACAACGCGTGCGACGGCCGCAACGCGGACATCGTCTGCCCCCGCCCCTCCCACAGCCACACCAGCAACAGCTTCGGCGAGTGGAAATACGTCCACAACACCGACCAATGCCCCCTCACTGTCCGCCACGCTGGCGCCTGCCACCGCGCCGCGCTCAGTGCCACCTCGACCCTCCCAGCCGTCACCTGAAACGCCACCACCGACCTCCGCACCTGCCATGGCACAGTCCAAGTCCAAGGGCGGCCGGCCGACGCACAAGAAGAAGGGCCGCAACCAATACACCAAGGAGCGGGACGCACGCGAGGAGCTCAACTCGATGACCCGGTCACGTTCTAGGGACGTGCCAGACAACGGGCAGAGCAAGCCGGGCTCGAGCAGCGGCAGTGGCTCGCACAGCAACCAGAACAACAAGTCCGGGTCGCGCTCCAAGGGCGGCGGCGGCAGCAACAGTCGTGTCAGCCTCAACGAGATGCGGCGACGCGTCTCGGCCATGTCGGACTTTATTGGCAAGACGCAGATTGACATTGCCAGCGGCGAGTACCTGGCGTCGGCAGTGGCCACACCAGACGGCGGCAAGGCCGGCAGTGTCCATGCAGCGACGGATCCGAACAGCGCAGCGACAACACCGTCGTCCACCTCGGCATCACAGCAGCCAGCCACCAGCAACGGCGTGTCGTTGGATGTTGCGCACGAGAAGGACTTTAAGAAGCTCCCGCTATTGGAGATGATGGACACGCTCACTCGGAACATCATTCACTGGCAGAACCAGTACGGAAATTGAATGGAACGCGTGTCTTTGGTCTTTTGCAATTTCCGGGTCTAGTCCACTCGCTTGTCGCGGTTCGCGACTGGTTATCGTATTGGCGGCGTTTTACATTCAAGCAGTATGGCCTTCTGAGAATACCCAGGGCGGGAGGCTTCCTCTGTGTCAGTCTTCTTTCGTTCCCTTCCGCATTTGCCTCTTGTTTTTCTTTTCATTTTATACTCTTATGAGTGCAGTACTCTCCTTCTCCCGATATGGAGACACAGGACTACACGGCGTTCTTCTCATTTCTTTTGTTTTATCTTATTTCATTTGGATGATGTTGGCCCATGACATTGGAGCCGCCATTCAGGATTCTGGCGTTTGGGTTGTATGGACAGGTTTTCTGCCACTGTGTACGTTTATGTGTGAGATATAAAATATCAAGACGCTCATTACTGCTTCGAATTCGAGTCACTATATATCCTGTATAGATCCTGAACAAATGGTACCGTAGATGGTCGACATGCGCAGTCGAGTGTGAGTGTATATATATATATACGTATGTATGTACATGAGATGAGATGAGAACAGAGGTCGAGCTGTTCAGGCAGCCGACACGCCGCCGTCGCCCCGGGTGCCTGTGCCCGTAGTGGCGCTTGCTGCGTCGCCGTTGTGCCGTGCCGCCGACCGCGCCTTCCGCCGCTCTTTTTCGTGCTTCCGCGCCTGGTTCATCGACAGCGGCGGTCCCTGCCGTGCCAACTCCTGCGCCGCCGCCAGGGACGCCGCGTCCAGGTCGTCCAGACAAAATGCGCCCAGCTTGCCCCGCCGCCACGCCGTCACGAAATGCTGCGCAGCCGCCTCGTGCGAGGGCACGCCGCCGCGGCCCAGCTTGCCGATGCGCCGCGCCACCGTGTCCAGCAGCGCCAGCACGTCGTCGGTGGGCGCGTCCATGCGGAAGAGCGTCGTATACAGCGCAGGGTTGCGCTTGTTCAGCTGGAAGAGCAGGTAGTCGGCGAGGGCGACGGGCGGCACCAGGCCCTCGCGCACGCAGCCCACGAGCGCCAGCTTCAGCATGGCCTCGGGGTCGGCGACGTACGGCACAAAGACACCCGGGGTGTCCATGACCAGCACGCCGCCGCCGTTGCCGCGCAGTGCCGGGTCGGACTCGGCGGCGTCGTCCAGCACGCGGACGGGCGTGCCGAGCTTGCGGGTGACGCCCGGTTGGGCGCCCGTGGCGGCGGCCTTGGAGCGGCGGTTGGCATCGACCATGCCGCGGGCGCGCAGGCGGTTGAGCAACGTGGACTTGCCGGCGTTGGGCATGCCGACGACGAGGGCGCGCAGGCCCGTCAGGGACTGCTCGCCATGGCGCTTGGCGGCTGCGCGCACGGCGGCGACGAGCTTGGAGGCCTCGCGGCGGCTCGTCTTGGCCGAGACGGCATCTTTAGTGTCCTTGCTGGTGTCGGAGCCCATGAACAAGACGGCATCCGCGTCACGCCCGTGGAACGCGGCCAGGCGACGAAGATCGGCATGTGAGGGTGAGAGCGAGTCCGAGGCCTGCTTGCCGTCAACGACAAGGTCACGCTTCGTATACACAACGATGCGTGTGCGCTCCGTCGTGGCGGACGGCAGAGGCGCACGCCCAGCGGAGCGCACAGGACCAGACAGCCCCGGCAAGCTCGTGCTGTTGACGCCCGTGCCGCCACCATTGCCTCCACCACTGCCTGCACCCTCGGTGTCGGTAAAGACGCCCGTGCCCATCAACGACGACTCGAGCAGCGGGTTCCAGGCTGTCAAGGGCACACGCATGTCGCGGCACTCAATGACAAGACCGACCGTGGCGAGCACGCGTCGCATGTTGTCGAGCGCGGCGCGGTGGTGGCCAATAAAATAGGAGCGCGGCACGCCCGTTGAGGGCTCGTAGACGGTGCGCGGTTTGAAGTCCGGGAAAGCGGACGACGATGCTCGTGCTGGAGGTTCGTCTGTCTGCGCCGATTTGGCCTCATCTTTGGTTCGCCGTGGCCCGGCAGCAGCTGAAAAGGCCCGTCGCAACGGCCGGGTGGCAGAGTCGCATCTACGCATTCTGACGGCACCAAACACGCATTCCCCTCGCGTGCAGGCTTCCCTTGCTGCGGCAAAGCCTGCCGCCGTCGGTATTCGTAAGGAAGTCGTCATCGTGGAATGTGTGTGGATGTGTGTGATATCTTCCCTTCCCAGCCAGCACTGTCCAAAACATGCAGTGGATCTGGCCTTATGCCACCACTGCACCACGACAGGTGGGCCCAGATCGAGTAAAGTATTTAACGAAGCCGTTCAATCGAATACCTTGAGCGCAAATTCGTATATGCCGGCGTCCGCAACTGTTCCTCCAACTGGTGTCGTAAAGCTGTGACGAATTGAATTGAGGGTATATAAGGTGTGTACTTGGGCTCTCCCACTGTAGCACAGCGCTATGAGCGGTCCGCGAGGCACTAAAAATTTTCTGCCAGAGAAGGCTCCAAAGGGCACGTGCCACTTAGGCGAATGCGCAGCCTCGTCTCAACTAACAGTCAATTTTGTAAGTCTTTCACATCTACGAGTCCTTGTTCTACTGCGTAGACTTTACGCACGGTGAATCCAGATTTTTTGTAACTTTTTTTTTGTAATTTCCTTTCAAAAAGGGTGGTCTGGTCTAAATACATTAACTATTACTATGCGAAGCGAATACGCCTCCGCCAGGGGGTGTCTTTGTTAGGGCAAAGTTGTTCAAAAATCGCATCGTTTCAACGATTGGTTGGAGAGGAAATCACCAGCCAGTTTTCTGTTTTCCCAAGACCAGATCTTTGATGACACAATCCATCCCTCCAAACAATGCATCAAGTGAAGAGAAGAGACAAAGGGCCATACAGAAGATTGGGAAAAGAAGATGAACGAGGCAGCAATATTTGGAAGAGAAATGCGACGAGAACATGGTGAAATAATAGTGAAAGAATAGTGAAATATAAAAGCCCAAGACCACCTTGTTTATATAAATGCCGTTCGTAAAGGATCGTAAGAAAGGAAATGATTTGAGAGGATTTTGTAATGCTTTGGTTCACATCCCATGTTATGGCCTGTCGAAAAAAACACAACCAAAGTATGATCACCGAAAAGCATACATACAGACAATGAAGGAAACACAAAATAAAACAGGAATGACGAAAATCAAGACGATATTTTTGGTTCAGTGAGGAAGGGAACAAAGGTGGTATTAATTGTACACGCAATGTAGTCTAGTACATTTCTGACGATGAAGAAAAGAAAGGGGTGGGGAAAGTACAAGAAAATAAGGAAACATAAAGAAAGGTCAGGCAGCTTCTGTCATTTACAGAAGAGCCACAAGAGCCATGACGGCAGCACCGGCCAGACAGTAGGCCTGGGTACGGCCACCGGCGTTGACAGTGACAATGCCCGACGGGTTCGGCTTGACGCTACCAGTGCCCGTGGGGGACGCGGAGCCGCCACCATTGGTCGGGTAAGGAGGAGCGGTATTACCGGAACCAGTGCCGGTGGGCTTGTTGTTGCCGGCGGGCTGCGACTCGGCGGGCTGACCGCCAGCAGGCTTGCTGGTGGCAGCACCAGCACCAGGCGAGACGGTCACGGTTGTCACTGGGACCTGAACGCCAACGGAGCCCGAAGGAACGCCAGTGGGCTTGGCAGAGGCCTGGGTCTCGGTGACAGGGCAGACGGTGGTCGACACCGGGATGACAATGGTCGTAAGGTGGGTAGAGTGAGCTGGGCAGTTGGTCACAGTGGCGGCGCAGTCAATGACGGTCGAGGTCGTGGTCGAGTAGATGGTCGACGTGGTGAGCTGGCCAGCCGGCGAGGAAGCACCAGTGGGGCCGGCGGGGGACTTGGTCGCGCTGCCCTCAGTCTCGGTGACAGGGCAGACAGTGGTGGACACGGCAATGACAACAGTCGTCAGGCGCGTGGAGTGAGCCGGGCAGTTGGTCACAGTAGCGGCACAATCAGTAACGGTCGAGGTCGTGGTCGAGAAGATGGTCGACGTAGTGAGCTGAACAGAGGACGAAGAAACAGGGCTAGCGCTCGAGGAGTGGACGGGGCCAACGCCGGACGAGGCACCACTAGGGCCAGAGCTGGCAGGGCCAGAGGGCGCAGAGCTAGGAGCAGAGACGGAAGCCGAGCCGCTGGGAGCGGAGCTAGGAGCAGAGCTGGGAGCAGCAGACACGGAAGCCGAACCGCTGGGAGCGGAGCTAGGAGCAGAGCTGGGAGCAGCAGACACGGAAGCCGAACCGCTGGGAGCGGAGCTAGGAGCAGAGACGGAAGCAGAGCCACTGGGACCAGAGCTAGGAGCAGAGACCGAAGAGGAAGCAGAGCCGCTGGGGCCAGAGCTGGGGGCAGAGCTGGGAGCAGAGCTAGGGGCAGAGACGGCAGAGACCGATGAGGAAGCAGAGCCCGAGGGGCCAGAGCTGGGAGCAGAGCTGGGGGCGGAGGCCGAAGAGGAAGCAGAGCCCGAGGGACCAGAGCTAGGAGCAGAGTTAGGGGCAGACGACGGGCCATTGGACGGGGCCGACGAGGGGGCAGAGCTGGGAGCGGAGCTGGGAGCCGACGAAGGGCCGTTAGACGGCGCCGACGAGGGAGCAGAGCTAGGGGCGCCGCTGCTCTCCGACTCGCAGGGAGCGGAGCTAGAAGCAGAACCCGAAGGGCCCGAAGAGGGAGCGCTGGACGGGGCCGAGCTAGGGGCCGAGCTGGGGGCCGAGCTAGGACCGTTCGAGGGAGCCGACGAGGGAGCGGAGCTGGGGGCGCCGCTGCTCTCCGACTCGCAGGGCACAGAGCTAGAGGCGGAGCCAGACGGGCCCGAAGGAGCGCTGGACGGGGCCGAGCTAGGACCGTTCGAGGGAGCCGACGACGGGGCGGAGCTGGGGGCAGAGCTGGGAGCCGACGAAGGGCCGTTAGACGGCGCCGACGAGGGAGCAGAGCTAGGGGCGCCACTGCTCTCCGACTCGCAGGGAGCGGAGCTAGAAGCAGAAGCCGAAGGGCTCAAAGAGGGAGCACTGGACGGGGCCGAGCTGGGAGCCGAGCTGGGAGCAGACGAGGGACCGTTAGAAGGTGCCGACGAAGGGGCAGAGCTAGGGGCAGACGACGGCGAGCTGCTGGAGGTGGTCGAGCAGCCGAAGGAGATAGTCGAGATGCTGATGCTGCACGTGGTGTGGGGCTTCCGGACCTGCGAGGGGTAGACGACCGTGCAGGCCTTGGCACCGCCGCACTTGTCGTTCTTAATCACGGAGCCCTTGCTGGAGCAGGCGTTGGTCTGCTTGCAGGTGGAGCCGTCGGGCATGCGGTAGTGGAACTCGAGGTCGCAGTCGAACTCGGTGGTGATGTGGAACTCGGTCACGGAGAAGCCTTCAATGGAACGGCTGTTCTCGCAGTCGAACGACGGGCTCTTGGACGGCTCGGAGTGGCAAGTACCGCCGATGTAGTTGGAGCCGGTGCGGCGGTCGACCCGAGAGCGGCCGCGGTTGCCCGACTTGCAGGTGAAGCCGCTCCAGTTGAAGTCATTGTAGTTGGAGAATTCACCGTAGCCAAGGTCGCCGAAGTGGAAACCGCCGCGCTGATGCGGCGTACACCTGTCCGGGCAGTCCTTGGGGTTGAAGGGGAAGAGGTTCTAAGATGCTGTTAGTTTAGTGTTTTATTGACAATCAAGGGAAGAGTGACCGTTAACGTACGTTGGTTGCGACCACGCCGGCGGCGAGGGAGAGAACGGTGGCGGCCTTCATATTGACTGCCGAAAAGAGATAGTTGATTGGTGATTATAAGAACAACGGAGGCAAGATATAAAAAATAGTTGAATGGATGAATGGATAGCGAGTGTGGGTGGACTGATCGAGATCGAGAACCGAAATAGGAAAATATGAAAACGAGAGGTGGAAGCAAAGAAGCGAATGACTTTGACAACCAAGAAGAGAATGAAAAATAGGGAAGAAAAGAAGCCGAGATCGAACACCAATGCTTTTCTGGCGGTAGCACGAGGGGATGAAGAGGGAAGGAAGAGAAGAAAGAGAAGTCATGAGTGCCGGGGGAACAGGATTCATATACTCCATCGGCATGGAGCAAAGGAGGGTAGGGGGAAGGGAAGCGGGAAGATGGGGTGGAGAGGCGGAGGGCTACCAGAACAGGGCATCGTGGACGGTGCACACAAAGAGGGCCGATGTTGACTAGACAAAGCGTGTGTAAGTGGGTGTAAGTGAAGACGGGGTGGGTCTGGAGGTCGTTACGGCGATTGTGGTGCGCGACAGGGGAGGGGGGTGTGAAAAGAGAAGAGTCAGTTGAGATGGTCAACATGGATGCGGCCCACCACAGAGCAGTTGAACAGGGGGGTGTCTACTGGTCGTTCGCAGAAAGCGACTCCGTCGAAGCTGTCTAGGCGACAAGGATGTAGCATTCTGGCCCACGGTGCCGGAGCGTTCAGAACGGAGATCAAGGGCAAGCGGTGGAAGAACAGCAGCACAACAAAATAAAAAATAAAAAGGCACTGTCGACGGTGGATGGAATGAAGACGACAACCAGAAAGAAGTCACAACGACTTCGAATTCAAAGAACAGCCTTCCCAGGCGCTCTTTGACCCCCAGTGTTAGCCCGGCCGGAATAGTCACGGTACCTGCTTTGGGCACATACGAGTCGAGAACTGGTCCGTCTTGATCTCTTTGGGTCTTTCACGGAATGACCGTTTTCTTTGTTAGGCAGTCGGCCGTCTTGACGGAATGCGGCCAGGGCGTGGCCCAAGCATGAACAATTGCTCTGTTGCACAAAAGCCGTATTCTTTGATAGAAAAGCTGGGCTGCACTGCCATGCAACATCAGACTCGCACCATGCCGTCTCGTGTTGGCTTGTGCCTCTCGGAATGTGCTGCTGTCCGGATTGGTCACAAAGGACGACGTTGGTGACAGATGCATGGAAGGTACACATGAAAGAACTTTGACAAATAACAATTCTGAAAGGATACAAGATCAACAAAAGAAAAGAAAAAAATGACAGCGAAAGTCGGCATGTTGCAGCTCAGCTCGGCAGCGGTGCTGCAGGCAAGGAGCGGGCAGGAGGCCTTTCTTGGATGTTGAAGTGCCACGAGATGCATCGTGGCATTCGGATCGGACTGGATCGACCAGGTAGCGGTGAGGGATCCAGCAGCAGCAGATGCGTTGTGAGCTGAACTGGTCTGCAGGTTTGCAAGACATCATCAAGGACATCACCAACGTTGCTATCAGTCGCCGGCCAGGTTCTGCACGACACGCTTAGCCAGCAAATGTAGCCAAAACTGCTCCAAGTAGGTGCATATTTCCGTAGCCAAGTCAAGACAGTCGAAGCGCCCCTAAGAGTAAGACAGCATATTGCCAAATGGTGTCAACTCACCTGCCAGCGCATCGCGTCAACAGCGTCAGTGGAGATTTTGTTTCTTCGAGTTCTACCTTGTTTTTGCGTGCATATTATGTCCGCTGCTTCGACCTCGCCCGCTTGACCTTTTCAAGTCTATTTTCAGCCATGTTGCTGTCTCTCATGTTCTCATGGACTCCGCCAGTGAAGTTGCCCGACCATTTTGACCTCCGGTCGTCTCTCTTCTCTTCGTGGCTCCTGGGCTTCACCCGCTTTTTCTTCCGTGTAGTTCGACCGTTTTTTGTCTCAGCACTCATTTGTTTGCGCTCCACATTTCCTCCGTCTGAATCACTCGGACTTTCTGGCATACTTGGGGACTTGCCATAACGATGGCTGGATCCATTTTGCAACGAAAAAGAGGCGAGACGCCACTGTCTCCGATCGCTGGCTTCTCGCTGGGTTCCTTTCATTGCTTTGGGAGCGGGCAAGATTATTAGTCGAAAACGGTTGGCTCGCAGTGAAGAGTGTTCGGGGTCGTTGGTTGGGGACCAAAGTAAAAGGGGCAAGCGATTCGCGAGAGACGCCAAAAACAAACAGCCGCCAGAAACACGCGGGCGCCAGGAGAGAAGGAAAATAGAAGGTGCTCGGTCGTTCATTTCCCAATTCGGGATTAGCGCAAGAAAACGAGCGGCACCTACGAAGTACATGTAGACCTTTCGCGGTCTGGGGTGTTCCTTCTTTTGGAAACGGCTTTCTTTTGTTTGTCGGGCACCCTTGCCCTGTTGTTGGGTTTGCCTTCTTTGACTGTTACCGCTTTGCTCTTCTATTCCAGGCGTTGCTCGTGCCGCTTTTAGAAGGAGATCAACAGTACCTCTTTCCCTTCCGTTCGCAGACAAGTTGAGATACAAACAATATCTTTGAGGAAAGAAGATTCGACAACCACATCATGCAGCACCTTCTCACTGCGTTTACTGAGTACGCTCGTTCCTGCCGTTGTGTACGACGTATATCCGTGCTCGTCCTATGCGAAATTGGCAGGGATCGAACCTTTCGAACGACTGCATCAGTCGACCAATCGCGTCGAAGGGCCGCTCGAACCTTCCGCGGACGTTGTCACCTTCCGTCTGCCTGTGGTGCTGTTCCGCACAGAGAACAGACCGCCCCAAGCTCATTTCCCTTCGCACTTGCCTTGTCCTGGACAGGCTTAGTTAACCGAGAACGACATGGCAGGCTTTCTTGCTCTCTCCTTCTCCTTTTTTGTATGCCCCGTCGTTCGTGTCTCATTTAATGTCATAACAGCAAAATCGGTTGGCCTCAAAATGAAGTGGTCACCAAGGCGCCCCACGTCAACGAGCAAGCCCGAAGCCGGCAAAACGGCAAGTTTGTTCTCATTTGGATGTATTGTGCGGACGACAACACATCTGCTTTTGAACAGCCTTGTTTCATGCGCTGGGGTGGTCAGGAGGATATGGGCGGGCACCGCCTGTACGAGAAACATTACCTGTCCATTCTCCAATGTTCATTTCTCGACGGAGAGCTGTCTGCCTATCAATCTCATTTCTATTCAACAGCAATGCACGCGCTGTCCAAGGCGGTTACAAAGGCCCAGCCAGGCCAAGTGGCTGTGTCAAGTGGCCAGACAAATCTGCGCACGGGAGGATCGCCGAGAAGACGGAGAACAGAAAACTCTATCTAAAAAAAAACGAGAGAGAAGAAAAAGAAAAAAGACAAAGCGACTGCATAAGATGGTCCAAAAGAATTCGGATGAAAGCCGCACGGAAGACAAGTCGGGTACAATACTCCACAGGTGGGTAAAAGAGGCCAGAAAATACACTGCGCTTTGTCCCATTCGTGGCACCTTGGCGCACCTCGGTCGTCGCGTTCACGGGCTTCATGGTCATCGTAGTCCATCCGTCGAACGGAGGACTCATTGACGTCTGCTGAAGTCGACTCCACTACTTTCTTTTGCTGAGAACCGCTCTCATTTAGCTGATGGAGGCTGGCTCAGGTGCGGGCCACCTTTTTGTCCCGCCCTCTTTTATTTGTTTGGTTTTATGCTCGTTTTCCCCTCCGGGCGGCCCTCGCTCTCTCATTTCCGCAGTATTACTCCGTACGAAGTACGTCGTAGTTTCTCCTGGGAAGAGAGGGGCAGGCACTACCGCATAGATGGAGTAAATAGATTGCAAGCCGGGGACGACCTGGTCAACGGGACGCTGGCAACAAGGGGTGTGGATGAATGGGACAGCGTGAATGAACGGCCTTGCAGGTATTTGACGGAGTCTGTTGTCCAGGATGATAAAAATAAACCAACAGGAACGAAAATAAAAATCCCCGAGACGGGGCCGTATTTCGTCGCGAATCCATAGTCACGGGTTGGCACAGGGGGAGCATGTTTCCGTTCGGGAGTGTCCCGAAGAAATAGAGAAAAGAAAATACGTACTTTGTACGTCGTACTTTCACAACGGGAGAAAGAGATCGGATGAAAGAAAATACGAGTCGACATACACTTACATATATGTGGTGCAACAACGCACAACTCAAATAATACGGTAAAAAACACAATCTGCATCCGTCCTGGACAACACCGAGTCCACGGAAAATGACAGCACACTATCCCATATTAGCACACGCGTACATAAATGTATTCTTACATATTTGGGCGCACCGAACACAGGATACGAGCATATCTATGTCAGGGGCATTGTTGTCGAAAACGAAAGGCGGAAAAATGCATCTAGATCGCTGGAACGCATCTGAGCATTTTGTAAGTCGTTACCAGACCAATCCGACGAGTCAAACGGATAGAAAATGGTCGGCTTGCAGATAATGAGTGTGAGAAACCCATTGGGTGACAAGATCGCTCGCGGAAAGCAACCATCTGAAACCGTGGCGTCCCCGGCTCCGAAAAAAATCGCAGCGCAGAAGCGCTGACGACCAAACGATCACCTACCACCCTACGTCGAACGACGACGCCTGAGTCAAGGAGGAGGGACACAAGAGCCCTGGCGTGTTTCTGTTTTTGACTCAGCCACACTGTTTGTGGGGTCATGACTGCCTCCTTTTTTGCCTTGCCAACACCCCGGCAGCTGAGGGCCACCAACGCACAACCAGCAGCATTCGTGCACACCACATCGCGTGCACATTTGGCACTAATGCAGGAACTGACTTTGGCGGGCAAAAGCTTAACGGTTCCTTCTCCATACGTACTGTACTGGATTGGTACCTGGTGTGCCGATTTTGTGCCACTGTTAGTTGTATGCTGCTTGTCCATGGCAAACGATATGAGGACGGGGTCCCCTGTCTGTGAAGAAATACTCCGCAGGGGGACCTTTCTCAGTAAACACTCTAGTTTTCTCGAACTTGAGCAAACGGAGAAACATAGCATTGGATAGCCCCGGTTTGTGCGTTC